TACAGGAGTTTCAGGAAGTGTGCGAGTCAATGGGCATGAATGTAGAGATACCTTTACCGAAGTATCGAAAACGCACAAACACATTCCAATATCGATATACACTTATGCACCAACACATAGATAGGTTATCGATAGGTGTCTGTGACCCTGATCCGAATCGAACTTTCCGATACGTCAGATTATTCCCAATACTGTTCGTTTATTTATATTTTTATCAATATTCGGTATTGATTATATTGGCTATCGGTTCTATAGTACTAGAAACTTTGGAAATGATGTGAAAGCTTTAAATGGGTGGAAAGCACACATTGACGAAAGTGGTGCACACATTCAAACGATTTGGGTGTATTATATGTGTTTACACAAATGCACACAGGTACGTATATCCATAGATAAAAGAAGAGTATACGTATATCCCTCCATGTATTTTGGGTTAGGATTCAAAAGTTATGCGTATATCTCCTATTGTGTTAGATTTCAAACAGGTAATTGTAATACAAATACAATTTTTGAAAATTAGTATTAATTTTCGACGTTTTTGGAATTGACACGTTTGTATCATCGAATTTACTGACAATTTTATATTTATAAAATAAAATTTGTTACCAATAAAAAATAAATCAAAATTTTAAAAGTGTGCATTGTGTATCACTGCTAGTTTTTTTTCAAGAATAAGAATAATTAAGAACTTAATATATAGTTCTATAAGCTTTTAAAAAAAAATTATTACCAATTAAAAAAATAATCAAAAAATTCAAAATAATACATTCAATACCACTAGAAAATACGATTTTTTCAAGAACAAGAATAATAAAGAACTTAATATATAGTTCTATAAGCTCTTAAAAAAATTTATTACCAATAAAAAAATAATCAAAAAATTAAAATAATATATTCAATACCCCTAGAAAATACGATTTTTTTTCAAGAATAAGAATAATTAACAACTTAATATATATATATATAGTTCTATAAGCTCTTAAAAGAAATTATTACTAATAAAAAATAATCAAAAAATTAAAATAATACATTCAATACAACTAGAAAATACGATTTTTTTTTTCAAGAATAAGAATAATTAGGAACTTAATATATAGTTCTATAAGCTCAACGGCTTGACTTTATAGATGCTTATATCTTTTACATAATTTTATCATTAGAATAATCATACTACTGATGGCTAATTGAGAAAGGAAAAAAGAAAAGAAGAAATAATAATCATTCGATAATAAACAAAAAAAACATGGTACTATTAACATCTCATCCAATATTTGTCATGTAAATAACTTGTATCTAACGTGATTTTACAAATTTTTATTGATATTGTTTTTATTTGTGTTTCCAAAAAGTTCTAGCGTTTTAATTTGAATTATTTTAACCTTTCCACTCGCTAATTCCAAAATTAATACGTATTTTGGCGCCGAAGCGGCGGCGTCCGAGTGGTAAGGGTAAGGACAATGATTTTTAACTCGTTTGGTATATGACTATGCAATTATTATTTTCAGATAAAAAAAAAACCAGTAAAAAAATTATACAGACATTCATCAAATACTTAAAAATATAAAAATAAGTTATGATTTTATACCAGAAAGGCCAGACGACCAGGCTTCAAAGAAAAATTCCTGAAAACCTTATATAGTTTAATTAACTATAATACATCCATTTTACTACATTTTATTGTTTTTTTCCCTTTTGTCTTTAGTTTTTTCTTATTTTATTAGTTCTAGTAGATACGCCACTGGGGGTATCTATACTAATTTGTAAACAATCAAACTTGTCAGCATTTTTTGCTAAATGTAATTATATATAGATTGCAGAATAAAATTAAAATTACAAAAAGGATGCAATATATATTCTCACAACACTATTAAAATATATTTAATATATAATCTCACATCTGATAGAACACATTGTTCAGATTGATGCTAAATATAAAATCTAATGCATTTAACTTTTCTTAAGTTGTAATAGTAATTGTCCAAAAATCGAAAATTAAAAGTTTCTCATATCTAACAGGGTCCATCACTTTTAACTTTATAGATTATATTGATTGTTAAAACTAGCAAAATAAAAAAATAATAATAACAAGAAATATCTAACAGGGCAAAAGTACAGAAAATGGGTACAGTTTTACGAGAACGTGCATCCGATTAGATTGATTCAAAAAATATTCGATTTCGTATTGACTGCGAGACGTGCGATTACTTTTTTGCGAAGGCAGACTTAGTCATTTTGGAGATACGTAGCAAAATGTGCAAAAAATAGCAGTTTGAAAGAATGAAGCATCTGATCAGAATGATTCAAATAGCATGATTAGTTTTTGGAGAAGGCAGGTCCAGCGGATTCAAAATTTTCAAAATTCTCAAAAAAATATTACTCAATATTTTTATTAATATTTGTCGATATCAGTTCATTTGCGATATTGAAAATATGATTCAACATACATTTTTAAAAATTGCTCGTTTTTTTCTTCATAATGCTATGATAACTGCATCTTTGTGATGCGCATTTTATAATATACGTTTATATATACTTATAATATACAATTAAACATAAAACTTTATAACAATTTATTGTAAAGTAGTTTTATGTGTAAACGCCTGATCGTACAGCAATTAAGTAGACATTTTTACAGTTTTTACTACTAAGAACAAGCATAACATAGCGTTGCCACAACAACGCTGTGTTATCGACAGAGTTACTGCAGAATTGGCCCCTTAGAGTACTACTGCAATTATTAAATAATTTAGTACTTTGCCCAAATGAGTATTAAATTTTCTAATGATTGCAGTAGTCATATACTAGAATCGTTTAGAACAGGGGTTCCCAACTTGGTTTGTGCCGTGGACTCCTATTTAACCGATATCGTTTTTTTTATAAATTCTATTTGTACTAACGTTTAGTATTAAACTTATTAAAGTATAGATTCAAATACAAGTTTATACGTTAATCAATTGACTATAAAATAATAAAAAATATATAACATGCTGGTTGTGGAGTTGTGATCCACTACCGTGGATGTCTAAATTTTTTTTTTGCTGATGTGTGGACCCTTTGAAAGTTGTCATGGGCTCTTGAGGGTCCATATGGACCACTTTGGGAATCACTGGTTTATAATCATAGTCCTTAAAAAAATTCAAACCCAATAACTTTCGAAACACAAATCAAATTTATCATAAAAACTTGTAAAAAATAACTATGAACATCACTACTTATAGAAAACAGTTATTACATGACAAATATTGGATGAGATGTTAATAGTACCATGTGATAGGTTAATTAGTAGTTTGTTTATTAATCGAATCATTATTACATCACTAAATCATAACGTCGTATGATTACACATCTGTAAATCATAAAGTGTAAATAAATATAAATAGTCCAAGTTTATTTAGCCGACGTGGACGTGCAAGTATTTCAACTATTCTCGTTGACTTCCAACGAAATCTTGGCTATCAGGAACGCATGCACGTTTTTGCCTTTCGTTCGCGGCAAACCAACTTGCTTTGCAGTTTGATATTCTTTCCGTGATGTCAACATCAATGACATTGATATATAAGATTAATTGAAATCAATGACACACATTACGGTACACCAGTGTTTCCCAACATGTTTAAATCCATGACCTATTCCAACATTTTTAAACAATTATAGCTCCATACAAAAATTTTAGCTATTGAAACTTACGATGAAACACTGAAATTCAAAATGAACTACTTTTCTTGTTAAATTAGTCACCGTAGCATTTTGTCACTAATATCATGAGATGTAATGCAGTGTTTCTCAAAATGATTGTGAAGAAGCAAATTTAAAAAATGGTTCAACACTACCCTGTCTTTTCGGGTTATTTAAATTGTGTCTACATAATTACCTTTATTATGGGTACCTTTATTACCCATTTGGATAATTTGGAAAACATTGCAATACATATTATGATATTGGTTGAAACCAATTATATATGTTTTGATACTTTCTATTTAAAATCTTATATTGCTGATTAAACTGATCACATTAGTTTAAAACTATATTGATAACTTTAATAAAACAATCAATCATATTATATTGTAATACTTAAAATTTTTACATCTACTTAAAAACTAGTTTTAATTTAATTGGATAAGAAGAAGTATCATCTAATGAAATTAAGAATAAAAACTTAAATTATAAGTGAAGTAATTTTGAAAACTTACTGTTTTCAAAATTTGATGTTTTCGATATTTTATCAATTATGTCTATAGTCTAATAACTAAAAAAAATTTTTTTAACTAGTTAAAGTATAAATCTTTATCATAACTACAAGATATAATTTAGCAACCAAAATTTTTTAACATTTCATTATAAAACTCGTGTTTGATATAAAATGCATTATACCAAAAAACTTCTATAAATTTGCAAATATTTCTATTAACGTTGAATAATCACATTTTTTATATTTATTTATATACATTATTTTACATTAATTTGTACTTAATTTAATAGTCGAATATTATTTTACCTATTTAGATTAAAGGTAAATTTTCTATAAAACTTTGACTCCAACAATGGACTTACAAAAGCTTAAATATTTCTAACAATTTGGGCTCTACATTTTCTAGATTTAAATGTTCGATTTTTTTTAAATTTTATAATAAGATCCATATGGGACAATAGGTCAATGAAAATTTTTAACTACAAGCATTGAAAGACGATGATATTAATGATAATTGAAATGAATGATAACTTATTAAATATATTTTTTGTAAAATTGATCTCGTCGAACTTTATAAAAGGTCGGTCCTTACAGAAATGATCTTTTAATATTTAAATTAATCGCCATAAACTTGCTATCTTAATAATCATAGTCAAAGTATCTAATAAATCATTACAGCTAAATCATCTTTTATAATTTCTTACCGTTCCTTATATTGACTGACCAATAAATTTGGTGTCAGATAATCTACAAAGTCGCCAAAGAAAAATTCTGCCGGTACACCATGGAAAACTTGCCTTGCTAGCACTACCAATATGTCTTCAATAGCTTGTGACAAAATTGGACGCAGACTCTCCGATACTGGACGCCAATTGGCGTTCAAATAGGCGTTGGTACTTTGCTCTAAAATAATAAAGTTAATACATAATATATACTAAAATATATTGAAATAAAGGAGTATAAGAAGAAAATATGGGAACATGGATTATTAAGAAAAATAGTTGATTGATTATTTTTAGATAAGAGAATTTAGACATTAATTATGGCTATTTCAAGTAAATAGATTATAACTTTTAAATAAGTGGTGGTACAAAAATAAAATTTGCATAACTATAACAACAGACAATAACAATTTTACTGAGTACCAGTCATTTAAGCTCAAATTAGGAAAAAAATCTCGGAATTTGAGATAACCATCTGCAAGATTGTAAGACACCCTAAAGTTGTCTCAAAACCTACATAGGGTGTAGGGTGCCAATACTATATGTAGGGTTTTGAGACAACTTTATAGTGTCAATATACAAATATTTACAGACATACAGCTGGGTATCTCGAATTCCGAGATGAACTTACTATAATGACTGAACTACTGGTTAAATTTGATTTTATAAACTAAAATTTTGTATATATTAGAAAATTTTATAAAAGTCGATTCCATACCTAATGCTTTGAGACCATCAAACAAATTGTTCAAATTCAAAGTCAAACCTCCAACGTTGAATCGAACTTTAGATGCAGTCACGTTGAAAAAGTGGTAATTGTCCCTTTTGTAGATATTTACTTCGTTTCTCATTTCAATATCGAGATCGGCTAAAAATATTTTATTAAATTTTGAAACTGTACCAGTTGTCTTCGATCTATTTTATTACTAACTTGGTTCAAACCAGCATTTTCCATTGCCAATAAGCGGCACCAACAGAATCCGGCCCTTTAGGTCGTATGTACCTTCAATTCGCAACTTGGGGATTTTCATTAAAGTGTAAAAGTGAAAATTCTTCAGATTCACTCTGAAAAGATAACGTAGGAAAACAATTTTATAGTATCATTAGACAAAACAGATATAGAAAATAATCAGTCACATATCAATTTTCTCTTTTGTGTCTTTCAAAAGTATTGAATTCATTCTTATTATATGTGACTTGCTAATATTTATTTAATGAATATTTATTTCAGTAATAGGAGTAAACTTCTCATAGGATCAGTTATAGTAATTGTCCAAAAATCGAAAATAGAAATTTCTGAATATTTTGGCATAACTTATGATTAGAAAAAATGAAAGTATGTGTTGATACAATTTTTAGTCCACGTTTTCGGGAGCACAGATCAACCGATTTGAATGATTCAAAAAACATTCGATTCCTCGTGATAGGAAGACGTGCTGATTAGTTTTTGGCAAAGACACGCTCAGGCGTTTCGGAGATACGGAGCAAAAAGTGTAGAAAATAGAAACTTGTTTTTTGCGAGAACTGGGCATCTGATTAGAATGATTCAACAAATATTCAGTTTGTATCGACGGGAAGGCGTACTTATTAGTTTTTTGCAAAGGCAGTTCCAGCAGTTTTGGAGATACGGAGCAAAAAGTGCAAGAAATAGCAGTTTGATAATGAATCACCTAATTCAAAAAACAATTTGCTTATGTTGGCAGTGTGAAGAAATGATTAGTTTTCGGGAAGGCGAAAAAAAAATGTTTTTAATTAAAAAAAAAAATCTAAATTTATTTGAATTTTAATTTATATTTATAACTAGCAAACCCGACAAACTCCGTTTCGCCACCAGATGGTTTCGTGAGAAAGATGAAGAAATTCTTTGTTTGTTTTATATTTGAAAAGGAAAAATTTGATCAGGAAAGAAAACCCGGCTTATTTTATATATATAGAAGATAATCTATTTGCAATTATTTAAAACAATTATTGATTATTTTTAATACTCGAATTTTTTATTACGGTGCGTGAAGTTCCAGCAATTTGCATTAGGGCACGATGCCATGCACCACTAATTTTCTTAGCTATAAACCTTGCGGAGCCCAAGACCTTTCCAATGAATGCAAAATTATCGAAATCGGTTCGTGCGTTCTGGAGTTATTTCGTCAGGAAGGAAAACCCGACTTATTTTTATATATATAGAAGATAATCTATTTGAAATTATTTAAAACAGTTATTGATTATTTTTATTACTCGAATTTTTAATTACTGTGCACGAAGTTCCAGCAATTTGCATTAGGGCTAGATGCCATGCAACAACTAATTTCTTAGCTATAAACCTTGCGGAGCCCGAGACCTTTCCAACAAATGCAACATTGTCGAAATCGGTTCGTGCGTTCTGGAGTTATTTCGTCAGGAAGGAAAACCCGACTTATTTTATATATATAGAAGATAATCTATTTGAAATTATTTAAAACAGTTATTGATTATTTTTATTACTCGAATTTTAATTACTGTGCACGAAGTTCTAGCAATTTGCATTAGGGCTAGATGCCATGCACAACTAATTTTCTTAGCTATAAACCTTGCGGAGCCCGAGACCTTTCCAACAAATGCAACATTGTCGAAATCGGTTCGTGCGTTCTGGAGTTATTTCGTCAGGAAGGAAAACCCGACTTATTTTTATATATATAGAAGATAAAAATATTAAACATTTTCGAATATTTTATTATGGTACGGCAAGTTTTTGTGGAGTTAAGGCACGATGCCACATGCGTACTAGTGTACTTAACTAATTAGTCCATTATTACCGATAGTTTTAGTGTTAAGTACTAATGACTAATAATAAAAATAATAAATTAAATAATTAATAAAAATGTGTATAGCCTTGTAACTACATATATAAATATATCTGTATAGTTTGTTTGGATGCCCTGTATTTCGTTCTACATATAACGCTACTCCATATGTTTGTTTTTATCTGAGCTAGTGGGAAAATTTCGATGCGTTTATGTAGCGACAAAATCAGTCCGAATAGTGTCTGTTTGCCTGGCAGTGTATATATAATTATTTCAACATTTCTTATTATAAATAAATTATATTTATATATATAAATACGTTCCGGTGGTTTCACATGGAGAGGACTAGAAGACGAGATATTTCGCAATGTATAATTCTGCATCACTACTTACTAAAGATGTTATAAATTTGAGAACAGATGTAAATAAATAATATGATTGAGGCTAGATCTTGTCAACTATAATTTAATTTATAATGTTTAAAAAAAGTAATATATACATTTGTTTTTATTTAAATTTACAGTAAAAACAATTAGTCCTGAACTCTATTTTGTTCAATTATCATCCACCAGAAATGAGGTACTCACATACTCAGGCATAGTCAAAAGTAATAATAATAATAAATCATATATTTCATTAAATATATATACATAGTGTCAAATTTTTTCGTTTGGACTTTTTACCCTACATGCCTGATATTAAAAACAATTACAAGTAATTAAAATATTCAGTAAATGGTATATATGTGACAAAAACAAAAAAAGTGACATTCTCTCAAAAAAAAATACGTTACTGTCAGCAGTTTTCCAAAATCTCATTACGATATTTAGAAAAGAAAGCCATAAATAAATAAATAAATAAGAAGAAAAGTTAATAACGTTACAATTGCCATTGGTTGATCAGGATATAGTTTGGCATAGACAGAACATTTTATATATAAAAACGCAAAAACAAAATAAAATCATCATATACAAAGTTGTTAATAAATAAAAAAGACAACTCAATTCTAATTATAATTGACACCGTCGTCGAGGCAAACTTTAGTTTTGATATGAATATATATTTATTTTACATTATTTCGAAATTTTTAATTATGCATTAAATTAATACACAATTAATTCAATACATAAACAGAAGGCGATGTTGGATGAATATTGAAATTTAAATGAAAAGTTTATTGAAAAATATAGTTGTCACATAAGGAATTTCAA